CGCACGGGCAGCGGGCAGCCAGCGCGTGGGCAGCGGGCGCGCGGGCGGGCAGCGAGCAGAGGTGGGATTCGAATTTTTTTGAATTAAACAGGTTCGCGGGTTGACCCGGCAACGTGTCGGGTCAACCCGAACCCGACCCGTTTTTTAAAATGGGTCAATTTCTTGAACCCGAACCCGACCCGTTTTGAAATCGAGTCGGGTTCAACCCGGATTTTCTGGGTCGGGTTTTCGTGTAGTGTCAAATATTGACACCCCTAGGTCTACTTAGAGTTTTTTTGGGAGTGACGTAACCAGCAAATATGAGGAATATCAAGGGTACGTTGGAAGTGGTTTGAATAGACAAACGATATTGATCCCCTTGATTGTTGATCATTTCCTGATATTAGAATTGAATGATTTTTGGACTCGTTGAATTCCTCTTGTCGAGCCACTCGATTTGAGTATAAGCATGTTACGTTTGGAAGCCTTTTGGTCATCCAATTTATAGTTTGAACCTTCCAAATGCACTTCGGGTCTTCGATTTGGTCCCATTTGGGCTCGGATTGAGTCGAATTTGGTGTCGTTCGGTTCGTCTTTTCGAGAAATTCAGTTGGACCATAAGTTCGCTTAAATTAAAGTTCGGATGATCCCACATTTAATTTTGAAAGCTTTCGGCTCAATTTCGCCTCGAGATTCATGCCCAATCATGATGAATTTTTTGATGATATATCAACATGAATCTTCAATTTACAGTCTCATGATAAAATTCATATGTTATATTTGAAATATACGTGAAAGCTCCTTTGAAATTTTATATAATTTCATAGGCAATTGGATTTACATGGTTGAGTTGACCTGTGCTAGGACATCACAAGCAAAAAAAAGCTCTATGTCAATTGAAAATCAGGATATCAATGTGCTAACTTTCATGTGTTTGTGGTTGACTTGTGGCTCTATTTATAAATGGAGATAGTATTCATGCTACAAAGTTGTAAACTTAGGCTTCGTTTGGGACGACTTTTTTATTGTTTTCTAAAACGGAGTTTTAATACAAATTTTTTTAATTTTGTACTAAAACTTCGTTTTAGAAAGCAATAAAAAAGCCGTCCCAAAGAAGCCTTAGTCTAATTGAGGCGACGATACTATTTTGATTTTATAGTAGGTGAGCTCACTCAGTGAATTGGAGCTTATTTTAAGCAAATAGGTCAGTTATTTATATAGAACGAGTAAGCTCAACGAGTTTATTTAGGCTATTATTTTAGGCGAGTTCTTCTTATTGGAACTTCTTGACAATCAACAAGAACTCTAAGAGAGAACATTTTATAGATTGATGAGTACTTTAAGTGAGCACTTAGATACCCAAGTTACTTCATTTAGATATAAATTTTTTTATACAAATAAGATGTTTTTCTAATATTTTATCCAAAAATATTTAAGATATATTTGAATAAAATTTCTTATTCAAAAAAAAAAAAAAGTGAAATGTAATAATTCACATTATATAAGATATTTGAATAAAATTTCTTATTTTAAATACAAGAAACCTTGCATATGATATGATTCATGCATAAATCATTAATATTTTCTTTTTAAAGATTACGGTAACTGCCAAATAACCACCTAATTGATTGCCTCAATATTTTCTATTTGTGGGTGGGCATTCCACTCTAAAAATTATTACTTGGTGTTATGTATGGAATTTGATTGTGTTGATCAATCAGGTTGTTTTGTTGTCTCAGGCCTCAAATTTCACGTGCTCGTTAGGGGTGCGGTGGTTTTAGCACCAGCTTGGTACAACGCCCGGCGTTGTGTACCTGAGTACCCCAACACTGAACAACAGAGAGCGGAGCACTACATCGATCTAGATACGATTCCACAGTAGATTAAGACAAAGTTTCAAGCGCCACAACACTACGAGACTAATTAAACGATTTTTTTTTTTCATTTTTCTGAAGGGTTGCGTCCCTTGGGGTTAACCAGAGACTGGTGCATGTGAGAAGAGAAGCAACAAGAGAGTGAGAACGAAGATAGATTTGTACTTATTTCTCACAATTTTCATAATGAACTTCTTGGTGTTACGTGACTAAGTTGAATCCTTTGAATCTCGGTATTTTTTGCTTTTCACTGTTTTTACTTTTTTATTTCGCAATCCTGGCTTATTTCTAGTTTAGCGAGTACGGTGGAATCTGAAAGCATGCATCACGATCATCTGAAGAACATGAATGATATCACTCACGCAGGCTTTAAAGCCTTTGGCCACTGAAGTGTCAGTGGTTTCATCAAACAGAAGTTACCTTATTCCTTAATGAAAAGAGATAAGTGATAATGGGCAATGATGAACTTCCCCAATAAGGCCATAAATCAGTCATCCATGATGGAGGCCGCACATTTTTTTTTTTTTTAATGGAGGCCGCACATTGGTATATATATATATATATATATATATATATATGTATGAAATTGCAGATGCTGCGTATTTATTGCTTATTTTTTTATACATAATTTTTTCGTAGCAAATAAGCAACAAATAAATAATACTAACTAAATACATAATAAATACTCAAAAAATACGTTGAAAAAATTATGTATAAAAAAATACGCAGCAAAATAAGCAGTAAATACGCAGCATTCGAACCTTACTCTGCATTCGGATTGCGTGCACAATAATTTCTCATATGGATATACCTATCAAGATAATATTTTTTCATCTTTATGATCTGCATTTTAATTGGAATTTAAGATTTCTTTTGGTATGATTTTTTTTTTTTCATCTTAAAGTTGCTTTCTACTAAAAAAATGAAAATAAAATCTCTTTAAGAAGCAATAAGAAAGCCGTCCCAAGCAAAGCCTATGTTGTTTTATGCATAGAAGAGTATATGATTTAAAGGAAAATGCGACAACGTTCACTTCCAAGAATCAAAATGTTGTAGTTCCCAGCTATAATAAGCATAATAGTTCCCTAA